TTCTTTTTCTTTTTCTCTCTTCTTTCTTTCTCTTTCTCTCTTTCTCTCTCTCTCTCTCTTTTTCTTTCTTTCTCTTCTCTTTCTTTCATTGGCACAGAGCTTCAAGACACTCAATGCCTGCATGAGAACTGGAATCTTATAAACCATGTGGATTTAGGGGCCTGTGGACTGTATCTCTAGAGGATTTTATCCAGTGAACATAAAATGAGTGCAGCAAGGTTACTGTTCCTGTTTTACTAATTTCCTCACAGAAACAACTACTTCGGCAGGGATATCCAACTGGCTTCTGCTTACTTTCCACCGCTTTAGACAGCAATCATATATCCCCCTTCTCGCAGGCATAAGATCGCTCCCCACCCCATTTCTCTGGCAATTGGCTCTTGTGTCAAAACGTGGTGGCAACCTCAGTGATTCTCTTGAAATTGCTGGAAATGCCCCAGCAAAAAGTTAGACGGTTTATTCAGAAGTGACACTATTTTTAAATTCGTGGGATTTTCCTCGGTCTCAACGAGTAGAATGCCAGGCTAAAATCCCACAGTTGTAATGTGCATCCTTAACTGAAAACCTTATAGTTGGAAATGAAACTGAATTGGATCAGCCAGGCTCTGGTTTTCAGATTAAAAGGGAGGAGATTTATTTCCAAATAATGTAAGCCAGGGTGTACATCAACAAAGTAATAAAAATCAAAAAAAGCAATAATATTTGTTACAGAAGATCCAATATCCATAGAATGTCCAACATATTTTCGTATATAATTCCTACAATAATCTTACATATCTATGAGTGGAATTTATAATGAAAAGGCAAAATATATACACAGACATTTTATATTTGCAAATACTTAAGATACGTTTATGTGGATGTAAATTGATTCAGAAAAAGAAAAAAAGTGTGTGGTCAAATATAATTCATGCAGTGTCTTTCCCCAGAAGAGCCTCTTGGATAAGCCACAAAACTTTGTTAAATTATCTCTATCTGGAACAAATCTAGTTAATCAATCCTCCTTATCAACTACATGTATTGGACAGGAGGAAACAAAGTGAAAAAATTTAGCCTTGGAATCAAACACACTTAGGGACAAAATCCCATTAAAATTCATGGATGTTTTTTGTCCATAGCAAATGTGCTTTGCTGTTTTATCGTTAGAAATAATTAAAATACTTGTGTGTGAAAAGTGAATGGTAACTGGGAGCAAATCCTTATTACTCAGTCTCTGTTTTCAATCTGGGCAAGATTGGGAAAAAGAGGAGGCTGGTTCAGATCCTCATGCCCCAGACAGCCTTGAGGTGAGCTGCAATCCAACAGATAATTCTGGAGAGAATTCACATATTTTCTGTATATGAAATGGTCATCCCCTCTTCACAAACTGCCCTGCAAGGCAGGCAGTTTATGTTGCATACGATGGAGTTTATTCTGAATAAAGCTTCTGTCCTTTCAGGGAAACTGAAATTGTTGTTCCCAAGCTAAATCCGCAAGGGAACGCCATAGGAAGACAACCCCCCAGAAATCCGAATCCCGAGGCAGACATCTTTGGAGATTAGATTCCCTGGAAGTCATACTTCTGATTAACTTAACCTCTGTTTACTCAACATAATGTTCTGGTTTCCAGGATGCCCTGAACTAATCGACCAACATGCTGGGCTAAACTGTGGTTGCCTAATCTGTGTCTCATACCCAGCCATTCTTTTTTTACAAGATTTATATGTAAGTCCACTCAGAAGTAAGTCCCATCGGGCGAGTGGAATCGGGTGCCACTTTCCAGTTCCTAATCCGCACCTGTTCAGTGGGCTCCCCCCCGTGGGGGTGGTAGAGGCTGTTTCAATTAAGCACTTCCACTTCAGGGGCACTTACTCCTCCTGAGTCTAAGGGCGGTGGGTTGCCATCTCCGTTTACAACTCCGGCCAAGCTCCAAAGCGGCCAGGAAGCCACGAAAATTTGCAGTGCCCCCGCCTCCCTTTGGTAGCCTTTGAGGTGCCCCCCCCCCAAACTCGTGGAGGCGTGAAGCTCTTGAGATGTTCCTGGGAGGAAAATGACATTGAGGCGGCAGCAGAAAGACGACAGTCCGGCACCTCCTGAAGTCTCCCCGGAGTGGGGTGGAACTGACTGCGGAGTAAACAGGCCAGGGATCCCGCGGGCGCGCCAGAAGGCCGAGCAGGCGCCTTTCAAAGGGTCTGTCTCCCCCTCTCTCCCCCCCTTAGGTTTTGGGTTTCTGTCTGTCCCCACGCCTTTGAAAATGCAGCATTGTTGTTTGCGACAGGCATTCAGCAATTTTGGTGCAAACAGCCTTTTTCTTTTCTTTTCTTGAAAGGAAGCAACGAGTTATTTTAGCTGTCATAAAGCTCCATCCCACACAGAGGAAATGAACAATATCAGAAAAACGGATCCGGGCTATCAGAAGCCGAGTGTTTCCTGAATGTGTCTGTATTGAGGATGTCGATAAAATAATCAGCAGCGTGCACGGCTCCCGGAGACGAGCCAGCTCCGGGCGGCCAGGAAAATACTTTACAGCTTCTGAAACCAGATTTGCTCCTATCAAGAGCTCAAGATATCCTGTATGAACGGAAAGGGGTCAGGCAACCTCGCTCAGACGGCACGAACCGACTCCTACGGCCAAGCCGGCGACTCGCAAAGACGCGAGGTCGAACCGGGCCGGGGGTTGGGCCAAGAGATCCAAGGAAACCCGGGATTGGTATTTTCCAATTGTTCTGGGATCCCAGCTTCCAGAATTCCCAGGCGGGCATGGGCGTTGGAGTCCTAGCGCATCAGCCACCCGTGTTCCCTGGGATTCGCACAAGACGCTTATCCGCGAGTAACGGAAGCACCGCCGCTTTCTTAATTAAGCCAAGTTTCCGACCTTGCCTGACCGATTGACTTCTATGCTAACTACAGAAGCTGGAATCCTGTGTCAAACTAGACTAAAATAGGGGTGCCGTATAGTTTAATGGGCCGTAGGAACACCGCGGGAAGACGGTGGGAACACACACACACACACACACACACACACACACACACACCC